AAAAAGCAACTTTACTTTGATCTTGAATCTTGATTGATGTCTCATGTTAATGATTATAGAACTATATTTAAAATAGAATTCAAAAATACAGTAAAATTATAAACATAAACGTATTCTTACTTGCTTTTAGCTGTACGTGAAATTGATCTTCGTGTTTCTTCAATGCTACATCATACTACATGAAATGCTTCAAAGTATGGCCCATTTCTCGATCGATAGTAATGAAATGGTTCTAACATGGCAAACGGCAAACCAACAGGAAAGTATCCGTCATAACCGTCACGTGACCAACCAAATATTACAAAGACCTCACGTGATCAGCCGGGTCTGAATAGCCATTTGCTGCTATAGGTGCCCGGGTACCTATAGCCACTTATTTTATTTATTTATTTATTTATTTATTTATTTGTCTTATTCTTATTTATTTATTATTATGTAATTATTCTTTAATAATAATAATATTATTTTATAACAACTCCCCCTCACTCTATTCATAAATGAAATATATATAGATAATATAGACCCTAAAGATGCAAACTCGGGGCGTCCAGCCCAATCGCACTCCCTTAGGTTCGCCATTGCCATCAATCGATAGTCAAAATCAGATTTACATCTTCAAACAGGTCAGACGCTGACATTTTTAATTTAAAGAGTGTGTAAGTTTTTAAAAATTGATTTTAAAAAAAGAAGTATTTTCCATTTTATTTGAAGTGGTCACTAACAGTGGCTATTTTTTCTGGCTTTACATCGAATCATTTTGGACTCGAATACTTCTGAATAACAAAAAGAAACAAGATTTGACTTTCATTGCTCTAAATGCAAAGACCCCTTATTTCATTCAAGGGATACAACAAGCACAATTTCTTTAGCATACTGCACAAATAATTGTTTCCCTTGAGGAATACCGCAAGCGTGCTTGGTGAATAGGGTTTTCAAGAATTGTTCGTCCTTCGCATGACCAAGGCAATGAAGATGACCAAGACAACAAAGATGACCAATGCAATGAAGATGAGCATGGCAATGAAGATAACCAAGACAACAAAGATGACTAATGCAATGAAGATGACCACGGCAATGAAGATGACCAAGACAACAGAGATGACCAATGCAATGAAGATGACCACGGCAATGAAGATGACCAAGACAACAAAGATGACCAATGCAATGCAGATGACCAAGGCAATGAAGATTACCGCGGCAATGAAGATGTCCAAGGAAATGAAGATGACCACGGCAAGGAAGATGGCCAAGGCGATTAAGACGACCACGGCAATGAAGTAGCCTTGACCAGTGAGTCTACATCCCATATAGAGAACTGGCGTGCCCCACCACATCCTTCCATTCGGATCGATCCATGGCTTTCCGCCTCCATCCGCAGATGCCAAGCTGGTGTAAGTCCTTCTTTACATCAATGATCCATCTCAGTCTTGGACTACCGGTGAACTGTCTGCCTCTAGATTTCCGCCTGCACTTCACTTTTGCTGCTCTACAACTCGGCATCCATTCAATATGTCCTGTCCAGCGCAATCTGCCCTTTTTTATTTGTTGCGACAACGTGCTGGTCTTTTTACAATGGAACAGCTCTTGATTTGTACGGATGCTCCAAACATCATTGTCTATCGCTGGGCCGTAGATTATCCTGAGAATTTTCCTCTCCCGTGTATTGAGAAGGTTCTCTGCTTTTATGGTAAGGGACCAAGTCTCACTAGCGTAAGTTACTACTGGCCTTATGCTAGTGGTGTATATTATTATTGCCTTCCCTTTTCCACTTGAGAGGTTTTTGCCTTCCTATCAGATTTTGTAGGCCGAAATAGGAACGCTGGCCTGCTGTTATCATTTCTTTCACCCCCCGACACTATTTCACTGTGCTCATTTATGGTCACCCCTAGATATTTGAAAGTACCCCCTCTCTCAAAGGCTTGGTTGTTTTTATTGATGTTGTCATCAGCGTGGGTGTTTCGTGACACTATCATATATTTTGTCTTCGATTCATTTACCTCACGCCCAGCTTTGATCGGGACATCTTCAAAGTTGCCTGAATGTTACATAAATTTGCATGTGCATTGACGTTTATGGCTGTAAAACATCAAAAAGTTTATTATTCTTTCCCCTCTTAATCAACATTAATCAGAGGGAGATAATCATGTTAATCATTTAAATTCCTGAATAGCAAATAGTCGACCCCCGCCTCTCCCCGACCTGGATATTTAGTACCTCTCTTTGACAGCTGTGGGGAATGAGGAGGGCAGATCAATAACGTTCACAGAGTTATGGTCTGTGGATTGTAGATTGTTTCTGGATTGTTGGGATTGTGAGGGTCTTAGGGATTTATAGGGGTATAGGGATAGTTCGGATCTGAGTTGAGAATTTTTTAAAGCAAAGCTAGACAACTGTACTACTTTGAATGAATATGACTGTGACCAGTGGCTAGTGGCTAGCTAGTGTTAGGGCCACCCGGGGTGGACATAATTTTGCCACCCCCTTCAACGAAAAAACTATGGTTGGTAAAAAATGCCACCCCTCAACAAAGAAAAAAGGTGTCGCCGGGCGAACTGCCCCCCCCCCCTATTTTTCATCTGTAACAGTTTTCAACATTTTAAAACTCTAACCGATAAGCATTCGACTAATGTGGCTGTTCAATCCAATTCCAGAATTTGCCACTTTGGAAGATCATTAATTCCAATGATTATTTTTTTTTACTCTGCCAGGTTGACTCGATCCCTATGTAACTTATTATGAACATTAGATTTTAACCGAATATTATTAACGCACATTCAGGTTCCGGTAATTTAGTGAACCCAGCAAGAATAATTTGACCTCATTTTGTTTCTCCATTGTTAAAAATGAACTCTGAACCCTGACCTCTCCATTATCTACACTCCACCTGTTTAGTGTGTGTTGGACATGCATATACACGCGGTCATCTGAAGACCGATCGGAAATAAGAAAATATATTGTAAATTGTAAAGGAGTTCACAATCACACACAATCCTCCTTTAGGAAGTACTCTGAAGGTAAGAAATGTGTACACAATTCAATAACGTTATTTATTTTTTTTTCTTTTGCAGTGTTTTTATTGTATTAGAGGACTAAGGGCGACTAAGGCTGACGTGACCACTTGGCACTTGGTATTATTTAGAACTCGGTTAATATGAAGGACACATATTTAGACATGACGTTGCATTCCTCCGAACCATGGACAAGATATTTCCGGCCTTCAAACTGGTTGGATGCCATCTATAAATGACGACAATCCTCTAGAGCCGCTGTTCTCAACCTGTGGGTCGCGACTACTTTGGGGGTCGAATAACCCTTTTCCAGGGGTTACCTAAGACCATCGGAAAATACATATGCTCTACAGTTATGATGGAGGAACGAAAATAATTTTGTGGCTGTGGGGTCGCCACATTATGAGGAACTGTATTAAAGGGTCGCGGCATTAGGAAGGTTGAGAACCACTGCTTTAGAGCAGGCCTGCACAACTTACGGCCCGCGGGCCGCATGTGGTCCGCCAGCACCCACTTTGTGGCCCACGAAGCAACGAAAAACTCTTTATTCTTATTATTTCTTAATAGCTTTCCCCTTGACCTATATTCTTTTGGAAAAAAATAAAATGAGTAAAACAGAGTATGGTTAAACCTGAAAACCATTTTTCAGGTTTAACCATAATTTGTTTTACTCATTTTATTTTGTACTAACCTGATTGCAGTCTCTCCCCTTATTACCCCTATATTCTTTTGGCCCGCACAAGTCCTGTCTTATTTTCTTTTGGCCCGCACAAGTTTTTTATTATGTATTACGGCCCACCTTACATTTGAGCTGTGTAGGCCTGCTCTATAGCAAAAACAAATTTTGAGAAACATTTAATGAGTTTTCAATTTTTTAAATTATTTGTGCAGGAGGATGGCGGAGAGATAAAAATCATTCCAATATAGGGGTCATTTATGAATGGTATCTTGTACCAGGGGTGGGGAATGAATGGGTTTTGTCTTGGGGGCAAAGTATAATCTCCAGCATTAAAAGTTCAGTCTGTAGCAGTAATATAGTTATTTTAGTTATAAATATCCTAGATTTAAGCCAACTGAAAAAAATAAGTAGCCTAAAGAGAAGTATTGCATGCAATAACACCAACATCAACACCCCTCCCCCCTTACACACACACAAACACGCAATTCTGCTCTATAATATAATTCGCAATACGGTTTCCTATATTTATTATTATCAAAAACAAGGTTGCCAGATAACATTGTCATTAAATTTACGAACAATCTGTAATTTAAAAAAAAAACATGACGTTGAAAAAACGTCCTTAAATTTTATTTCCATAAAGAATGGGGACGTCCATTAACTACGTCAACAATTTTAAAGCAATATTTTAACCCCCCCCCCCTGTCAACAACTGTAAAACTTTCAATGCCCCCACCCCCTTTTTTTCCACACACACACACACAATGAATTTAATAATACAAAATTGGAGGAAAAACATTTTATTGCATCTTTAGCGTGTTAAACAACATATTAACTTTATATAATTTAAAATTATATAACTATTTTAATTTACATTCATTAAATTTGTTAAAATAATGTAATAACCAGTAAATTTTTAAGACAAAAAAATTAATAGAGAAACATGAATTGTTACGTCAAATAATCTAACAACCTCCCCCCTTGTCAAACATTTCGAAACCCCCTCCCCAACTATTTTATTGACATAATTAATGGACGACCCCAAGGAGAATTCACTAAAATATAATTGTCACTAAAAGTTATTTTATTGAATTGGTGAATTTGTCCTAAATTTATTCAGGCCCATTTTATTTAATAATTAAATGTCTGGTTTTTTGTTTCAGGATAAATTAACTTTCCCGACATGAGCTTTCCCTAAGCAGAATTAAAATAAAGTTTTCCTGACCTATTTCAATTGCTTCCGGTGATCTCTTGACACCACCAATAAACCAAGTGTTTTGATTGGTTATAGCAATTTCCTCTTTGGTTGAAGTTTCGAACAGGACAGTCGGACAGAAGTGTTTTTACAACGCTTTGAACGTGGAAAGTTTCTGATACTTTTAACCGTCTTTTACTGTCTGCAAACTTTAAATTTACAGTCCAGTTTTGTCGTGAACTTTTATTTATGGCCCCTAAAACCAAACGTCAGCGTCATATGATAAAAATAAAAGCTAGGCAGATACTGATACTGAAGAAGCTTGTACGTTTGTATGTCTTTGTTGGGACTGGTCTGGTGACTTAAGTCTTAAGTTGAATAAACCGATAAGCCAAATCTTAAGTCAATACTCCTAAACTAATAGTCTTAACTCCTAATGCTCTTAAGTCAGAAGGCTAATGAGTAATGAAAACAAAACGCGTTTTAACATTTTACCCGAATTTTTCTTATACTTATATTCACCCAACTCTCCTCCCCCATGGCCAAGTTTGTTAAATTGTAATTTGAGGATTTCAAATTTATTTTATTAAATTTAAATATTATATCATCTCTCACAATCACCACACCCACACTTTAATAAGTTGATTAAGTTAACGTTTATGGTGTTTGTCTGAGCTTACTATTACTATAATATTAAAGTGAAAGTTCGCTACTCAGCCTAAATTTAAATTCCTAAAGCCTAAATAAATATATTTTGCTCAAAGACTGCCACTGACTAGTAGTAGAGTAACTTTTAGTGAGAAGGGCATTGCTATTAAATAGTCTAAGAATCAACTTAAAAAAATAAAATCTTTAAGTTAAGTGCAGCTCAGTGATTCTTAATATTTTAGCATTATTATAAATTATAAATTATTCTTCATTTTATTTATTTGAAGGTATGAATTATGAACACATCGTCATTTAGTTTTTTTTTAAAGTAGGTTGTTAATAGTGTTAATAGTTCTTTTGCCTTTGCTAGTTTAAAAAAAAAAAAAAGATTATTTCATAACTTTTCAGTGAGCCTAGTAGTTCCATTGTCATTGTTCATTGCTTTTTAAAGTGTATACAAGTTAATTATAACTTCCCTTTCTTTCTTCAGTTAGCCAAATCAAATAGTGGTGTACCAGTAACTATAACAAGGAATCAAGTATGACAGATGTAGGCCTACCACTAGTGGTTATGACCCATGCTTCACCTCCAAGTGTGCATGCCAGATTGGAACAGCAGTGTCGTGTTGTAACTATCAACAAAGATGAAAATATTGTTCCTCGACAGAAATTCCTTGAAGCTATAAAGGGTGCTCACGCTTTGTTTCTAAACCCATACTCACGTGTGGATGCAGAGGTTTTAGATACAGCAGGTTAGTATTTTGAGGGTTAATCTGAGATTTCATGAGATGTATTTGCAGTTTATTTCACAAATATTCTTGGTTTTCGTTTTCTCCCTCTTTAGGTATCTTTACAATCTGGCTGTTTGTTCAAAGAAGAACATTGCCTTTGCAGTACTGGTAATAAAATTAACATGTTATGTATATCAATGGATTCAGCATTGAAATATTATTTATGATTTTGATGTTACACCAAAAGATGGAGTGTTGACATGTACTAACTTACTTAAAAGAAAATCAGAAAACTATCGAGCCAGAACTCATAACAAAAAAACACCAACATGCCACAAACAGGTAAAAGCAAGTAGATCAAAAAAGTATGGAGACCTAAAAAAAACCTTTATTATTATCCATCAATGGTATCAATTTTTACAATACATATACAAATTTCAAGCAAATTTACCCACATTTCTAATAATTATGCCATTTTTTAAAATGCATTCAGAATTCATACATTTAATAATTAATTAGTGAAATATTTTAATTTTTCTTATATTTAAAAATATTTTAAAAAATGACACAAAAGAAGGCAAGTGAGAGAAATACAATTATTATCATCAAATAATATCAAAATGGAGATGAATAATTTTAACATATTTTGTAAAAAACAAAAAAAACCCACTACATTAGGCATAAATAAACAATTCTTTGTTATGAAATATGACAATTTTTGTTTTCCAGATAACTTGTGTATTTAACAAAGGTAGCACATTAAGTCCTAGATTTTATTTCTGTTTTATTAATCTAATAAAGATTTTGCACATTATTTCTTTACTGTAAGTAACCACCTTTACTGTAAGTAACCACTGCTGTTTTAACAGTATACTGAGTTATAATCATTCATAAATATTGCTGTAGCAGAAACATGAGCATTGTAAACAAAGTTTTTCACTGCCTAATTAACTCTACCGAGGAACTTAAAAGACTAAAGCTTTTTTTTTTCTTTTTTCTAGTGAAATAATTTATTATAGAAATGTCTTGTGTTCAAATTTTTTTACTTATGTAATGAAAATGTACAATGCAATCATAAAACATTTCCATTTGGGATCAATAAAAGAGTCTTATCTTATATTATCTTAACAGGTCATTTTAATTATCCAAGACAAGCATTTCGTTGTCTTCAGATTAAAAGAAATATGTCTACAGGATAATGCTAGAATTGTCATAAAAATGAAGGAATAGGCTCTGTCAACTTTTTTTCTTCTTCTTCCCTTTACTAACCTCACTATCCAAATTATTCGAAGTTATTCCAAAGCTGATAGCTTTTATCAGCTACTTTTATGACAGTTTCATCAATTAGGAACAGTAGTGCTTTCAGATTAACCTACATATAAAACAGAACTCTTGATACTGTTTAACTAGATATTGAATCTGAAATAAGTGATAATTCATTCATGGAGCCTTTTTTCTTCTTCTTTTTTTTCCTTTTTTTTTTGGTATCATGTGACATTTCATAGCATCGACAGGTCTTGCAGCCACTAGTTTCAAGATTTAACCTGTCATTCAGGTTGTCACATTCCAAAACAAATCAGACGAATCCTCGTCTTATATTTTACAGAGTTTAAAAAAAAACAGATTTGCTTAATCTTGCAAAATACAAATCTCAGTTTTTATTTATGTTCACAGAGTTAAATTTTTTTTTAGCCAAAATAAAATTAGAAATATGTCAGTGGTTCTAAAAATGAAATGAAGGATTCAGGCTCAGGGCTGTCACTTGAAATCAGTGGGTTTTTTTTTTTCTGAAACACATTCCTACACAAGTTACTGCTATACACCTGTTTTGTATTGTATGCCATTGATCAGTGGACATTTTTGTTCCATTTCAGGCCCACAACTTAAAGTTATAGCCACATGTTCAGTTGGTCTTGAGCACATTGACCTGAAAGAGTGTGAGAGGAGAGGGGTCAAAGTAGGCTACACCCCGAACGTTCTGGACAAGGCTGTGGCGGAATTGGCAGTGGCCTTGACATTGGCTACCGCTAGAAGGTTGGAGGAAGGTGGGTTTTATTTGCCATGGCAGGGCATTTATATATATATATGTGTGTGTGTGTATTTAAACATATGAGATTTGTTTTTAAAAAATTAAACATATTTTAAAACAATGGAGCAATTTACTGGTGACTTGTTAAATCCATTTAATATTACTTTCAAGATTCCTTTTAATGTGCTGGCAGTGACTTTTAAATTCTATCTCCCAGCACAAGTAACATTTCAAGATAAGAACATTTCACATTTAAAAAAAGCAACTATTTTCAATGTGGGAGACATTTATTTATATTATATCCATGATTATTTGGCTTTAACCGTTGTCACTAGTTTGTCTTTTCCCATCATTTTATGTTATTATTATTTTTGATACATAAGAAAGGAAACAAAAAGAATGCATGCTTAGAATGTTTAAAAAGCTCTTGACACAATTGTGATTTTTTTTAAAAGTTTATTTACGCTGTGCTAAGTAGGCCATCCTTTTTAAAAAAAAAAAGTCACTTTGAGACCAGAGATGATGTTAAGTATTTGTTCAAATTCCAAATTGAAAATCCTGGTGTATAAATAATTTACCGTACATCTTTCTGCAGCTTTCCAAAGTGTGCGGGATGGTGTGTGGGGGACATTGTGGGAAAACTGTCTGTGGATGTGCGGGAAACAGGTGTCTGGCTCTGTCGTCGGCATAGTCGGGCTCGGCAGGATTGGATTTGAAACAGCAAAAAGACTCGCTGCCTTTGAGCCCAGCAAAATCCTGTACTGCGGCAACACACCCAAGGCTTACGCTGACACCATCAGAGCTGACTTTGTCAGTTTTCACGAGCTGCTGGAGACATCAGATTTTGTGGTTGCGACTTGTTCCATCAATGACAGCACCAGAGGCTTGTTTGACAAGGAGGCTTTCAAAAGAATGAAGGCAGATGCCATCTTTATCAATGTGAGTCGGGGGGCCCTAGTCAATCAAGATGATTTGTATGAAGCTTTGTCGTCCAATCAAATTGGGGCCGCCGGACTCGATGTGACCACACCAGAGCCACTCCCGCCCAATCACAGGCTGCTGAAACTGCGTAACTGTGTAGTGTCTCCGCACTTAGGGAGTGCAACAGTTCGTACTCGGGCAGCGATGTGTGACGTTTGTGTGGAAAATATCTTTGCTGGGTTGAATGGGAAAGATTTGCCTTCACCTGTCCCATCAGCATTCAAATAAAAGCTTGGAGTGGAAAACTTGAATCTTTGAGACTTTATTTACATGAAATACTTAGTAATTTTTTAATTTACAAAATATATATATATGTATGTATATTTTTGTGTTACGGCCAAAATCTGTAATTATGGGGCTGGTCTGCAAAATCAGGAAATGGCCAATGTTGCTGTAAAGTAACCGGCCCAAAAAAAGATATTTTCTTGATTTTGCTATTTGGCTGGTCATTTTGCGAAATGTCATGAGGCGTCTGCCAGATTCGTAGTGATTTTTGTTTTCTGTGCATGAATTCAAGTGTGGGCAGTTACCCATGCAGAATGGTAAATACGCTTCAGGAAAGGAGTTGATTTAGAACACCACGTTCTGTTCCTAGTTTGTGAATAGCACCCTCATGACAACTGTAAGATGGTCAGTCTTCTGTCAGCACAAAGTTCGACCCAGGGATTTCCCACTAGCTCACGAAACAACCAGCCAAAGTATCATAGATACCGGTCTTTTCAATTGTATCTGACCTTAGTCACACCTCTATGAAATTTTGCATTTTTGCCGGCCGCTTCGGTAAGAGGCCGAACTTTGGGCTTTGGACGTAACATCTTTATACTCAAGATATTACATAATGGTCGAATTTTTTAAAAGATTGATCTCTCCAGCCGTCAAATAACATTGTATGTCTTATCAGTGGTTTGTCAACAGTGTCGTACGTTGTGATCAGACAGGATGTTTATTGGTTTGCTAACGGTGTGATATCATCTGTTAAGACAGGACGGGTGATTCTATAAGTGATTCTATTTAAAACTACAGAGATATTAACTTATCGTAACCTTTTATCTTTTTAAGTTTCATTGCTTAAAGTTAAACTTACCTTAAAGTTAAACTTACCTAACAAATTTCAAGATTTTGTTTGATAAAAAGATTGTGTCTAGTACAAGAGCAAAAATAATTATATTTTAATTTTATTAATAATAATTTTATACTTAAATTTAATACATTCCTATTATACAATGTGCTTACAATCCACGGAACCCTGCTTTACTATTTAACAGTCATTTTGATCTTGGTACATGTTATTGGGTTAAATTTGGCATTTGAAGACATCACATGATATCAGATGTAATAGGATTTTTTTGTGTCGAAGGAAGCTGATCTGATGTATATTTATTTATGCTGATTATTATAAAATATTGTTCGTCCTTGGTGTGCGAAGATGACCAAGGCTTGGACTTGAGCAGTAGTCTTGGCTTGAGCTGTAGTTTGTCCTGCTCATATCGTCAGCCTCGTCCTTGTCTAATTGCTCAAACGGCAAGACTTGGTCAAGAGGACTTGAAATCGACCAAGATGCGGTGGATGACCAGCAGGGTGCCTTGTGTCACACTGTGCTCTCATGCGTTCCACGTCAGAATTTTCAATGTGTCAGTGTCATACCGTCTACAGGATGCCTTCTCGTAGATGAGTTACCATCGGAATCCAAGGTTAACGAGCCCCATCCACCTCGGCTGATGGTGTTGTTTTTGCTAGTAGTGAACTCCTATCCGCATTCTTGGGATTTCCTCAGTTTAAACCACTCGGCCACCCAAAACGTGGATGATACAAGCGCGTTTCTCGTGTAACCAGATGCTTGTCGTAATTTTCTTCAAAAATATGATTATTTTCTTTGAGTGGAAATCACAAGAATTGTGTATGAATATTTTAAAAATAAAATGTTCTTTTAAAATAATACTACAGCATAACTTAGGTAAGATAATCATAAGATATGATACTTTTATTGATTCAAATAAATTGAAATTTGTAAAGGGGGGGGGGGGGGTTCACTCGTAGTATGTGTGGTTCTCTTTATCATGAAATGCGTAATTAGCAAACATACTGTCCTCTTCATTTACATACGATTATCCTTGTCCATCATAACGTTAGTGGATGTTCACTGTGAGGTCCATGAAATATTAGTGGATGTTCAGTGTGAATATTCATGCATATATAATACATGCAAATGTTAGTGGATGTTCAATTCAAGCTCCATTAGAGTGTTTCATGTAACCAGATACTTCATGTAGAAATAAACTCAAACCAGACTTTTCTCAGTGAGTTGGTCCTTTAAACTTGCGTGTGCTCACGTCATCTACTCAAGACATTGACAAAATGTTTATGATCTTCTATAATTTATATCTTGTTGATTCAGGCTAGTTCTCTGGAACATCACTTTCATTCTTAAATGCTAAAACTATAAGATGCACGGGGGGGGGGGGGGGGAGGGCTGTAATAGTCCCATGTTTTGTCAATTTATATTGGGAATGAATGAATGGTCTAAAGGTCGGGTTTCATAAATAGTTTGAAATCACTATTTAAATTTTAAAAAACAAATAATTGCTCTTCTTTATTTGTTTTTCAATAACGAAGGGAGTTGACCGTGTTTTCGAAATTTTATATTGACTTTTAAGAATTATTCCCCCTTTGAATTCGTTTTAAAAAAAAAAAAAGAAATAACAAATTTTAAAAAGAAATGAAATCGGTATTACGTATTTCTACATACAATGTATTCATACAGTTCTGTGCTGTTAAGAAAACCTGAAATATCTTTGTGTAGAAACATCCGAAGTACAAAATCATAGAGAATAAATTAAACAACCCACAAATACAAAGTTATATCGTATAAATCTTGAATAAAATGTAATATTGAGCAATGGCTGGTGGGGCTGAAAATTTGACAAAACTTACATACAAGTCACTTCTGGTGATGCACTTTATAAGAATCCCAGTTAGTACCCCCCCCCCCCACCCCGGCTCGCAACCTCAGGTTTATTTCGCAAAGATTAA